CGGCGTATGACCTGTGGCGTCGCACCCTGGGTATCAACGATCTCTTGTAATCGCGCAGCAACTTCATCGAGGTCTACTGGTCGAGATTGTTCCTCATTGTTGGTTCGAAGCAGTACGTCCCTATATCTCTATTAGCTACTAGAAAACACATTACGGATGGAAGGTAGATTTACTTGAGCCGCCGTGCTATCTGATGTCTCTCTTCTTCGGAAAGATCGTCCCAAGCATCGACCTCCAAATCGAAGCCGCCTTCGCGACGCTGATGCTGCTTTACATATTGCACTAGTTCAGTGTCCTTAATGTGAAGAATGTGACGGATAGAAAAGCGTTGCATTGCGCTGTGGAAAGGTCGTGGATGGTTTGCACTTCGCTGTGAAAAGTTTGGCAGAGAGCGCTGGCAAGATAAAGAGATCGGAGATTAGGCAGACGCTCTCTTCTCCATGCTCGTCGAGCGCCTGGTGTTACTGAACCCGGTCGGACCCACATGCTTGGCTGAGTCGTGCAAGCAAAAGCCAGGATCGTGGCACGTTACAACCACTTGGCGCTCTGCTGCCTCCCTCACGTGCTTCAGTGGCCTGCTACTTTGCCCACTTTGTGCGATATCTTTTTAACTGTCTTAGACTCCCTCCTAACGGAAGACTGCAGCCTTCAGCCAGGCATGCCCGTCAAATCCATGCATGCCTCGACACATTCCTATCCCGAAGAGGTGCCTGCGGCCTTGTCTTCTTAGTCACGTCCTCAAGTCCAACGTGCCCTGAAGATCTCGAGCTTCCTATGACCTAGTAGCTTCCATCCGCCAACTGCTTAGTGATTTATGTGAACTTCTATCAAGCGGAGCTTTGGTCTTAACCAGGTCATATGATCATCTGTTCGTCATATTTGAGCCTTACCATGGGTGTGTCAAGGGTGATAACCTACTTTAGTTGCTTGATAAGTCAGCTCATGAAGACGACGCGCAGCAGTCGGCCCCTGAATTGCCACCCGCCGTTAGCTGTATCCTGTATGCATTCAACCTAGCAGCGGCGACAGCATTGGTGGTGGGGCTGGTCAAGCGCTTATCCAACACGAGGCCCCGGGGCTTTCCCCCCTCGGCCGGCCCCAAGATCTTCGACGCGGTCGTCACCCCTTCCCTCCTGTATGGCATGGTCCAACTCGATACCGGCCCAACTCGGGCTGGGGCTAACGGCCGCTTAGTCCCATCTAGACTTACGCCGGTGCGGTCGTCACTCACCAAGGTCGCGAACGCGGCACTCAGAGTGATCTTCCCGGTGTGGCGGACGATCCCGACCGCGTAGCTAGCTAGCCTCTACCCAGTGTACCTGCTGGACAGAGAGCGAGCGAGGTAGAGAGCTCGCGCAGAGATGCTGCCGGCCAACCACCCTCTGTAAATCAGGCTTGCCCGACCCCCTTACCGGGGCAGGTCTCGCCCGCAACCAAGCGGCCCGCGGGCTCAGGGCTAAGCCCTTATTGGAGCCAAAGCACCTAGGGATCAGGGCGTGGCTCGGCCTCCCCTCTGTCCCCCCAAGGAACTATGAGTGCCTCCCCCGGATGCGTGGCTGATGGCGCACTAACCAACCCCCTCGGCCTGCTAGGCTGGGCACAGTGCTAAACCATTCCTCGAGAGGTTCTCCCGTCATGCCTCTCATGCTGGTTGGCTGAAGCCTCAGGCCACGGCGACTTCTTAGAGTACCATACGCGCTTCAACGACCCGCCGGAGGCTGCCAAAAAGTGTCCCTGCGGGACGATGGTTTTTAGGGGACACCTCTGCCCTCTTGTTTCCCTTGACGACCCACTCGCGGGAAGAATACCCCTAGGGGTCAAGAGTTTGCTGCGAGGTAAGACGGAGTTGACTGTGGCAACGGGTAGCTTTGCTCTGAGACCTGGGTGGTCCAGTTAGCGACATAATGGGCCGAGTATAAGAGCCGAGGAGCGACCCTTGTGATTTTTTTGGAATTTTGCTCTCCCCTTAGTTCTGCTCATTGCACCTACATCATGGAAGATTTGGACCTCATTGCATGTCTATACCCCTTTGTGAACGACGGCGTGGTCAGCACAGAAGCGCTACGCGTCATTCAGGCTGATGCAAATCGCAGCCGCTATATACCTCCGCGAGTCCAAGGAAGGGATTACACCCAACTCGATCATCCCGGGAGAGAGACAACGCCCATCGAACAACCCAATTACTTTCCATACTATTTCTACTTTCCAGGCCTCGAACTACGGTTCAGCCGCGGCCCACAAACCAGATATGGCTTCGTATTCGGCCGCGACCCAACTTCAGACATTGTCTTGGAATGCAAAAATCCATTCATAAGTACTTATCACTTCTCTCTCACCTTCGATGACTCTTACCGCCTTGTTGTAAAGGACCTTGGTTCGAAGAACGGGACAAAGGTTCGATATGACAACCAAGAGGGAGAATCGCGGACAAATTTCGTCTGAATAATTGGCGGACACGAGATACCTCAGCAAAGACAAATTTCGATTGCAGTCTCAGGCCTATCGTTCCTTGTCGTCGTCCCGAATCACGACATCACTTCGCCTCAGTATATTCACAATGTCAACCAGTTTCGTAATGGGACGGCAACCGAAACGGATCTGTTCAATCGCCTTACCGTCCGTAGTGCATCACGCACACAACAAGCGAGCGGAACACGTACACCTAGCGCGGATTCTATCCGCATAATCATTCCTCTCGGCCAAGGAGGATTTGGGAAGGTGACACGTGTATGGGATGTCAGTACCGGGGAGGAATATGCTCTGAAAGAGCCATTGAAGCGGGCGACCGAAGAGGACATTTCCGGCGAAACATGGAAACAAATTGTCGATGCATGGCAGAGGGAGATTAACATCATGCGCAAGATTTCTCATGTAACGTCCCTCTCTATCAATATGTTTCTCTTGTACTAATATTTCTCTAGGATCATATTGTTCGTTTCCTCGGCTCACAGCTCTCTCCTCATCCTCAACTACGATTTGAGTACGTTCCCGGTGGGACTCTATCGCGCCTAAAATCTCTGTCATTGAGAGAGTGCATACAAATCCTAGAGCAATGTCTGTCGGCACTTGTGTACCTTCATGGAAGGCAACCGCCGATTGTCCATCGGGATATCAAGCCAAGCAACATCCTTGTTGTGTATCGGCTCTCCAACTCTATTTACGTGAAGCTTGGAGATTTTGGGATTTCCGGTGAAGGCGGGGATCTGCAAACTCGATGTGGCACGCCGGTATATTTAGCCCCAGAGATATACTCCGCACCACGATGTCGCTACACACCGGCTGTTGATATTTGGTCTCTTGGTGTAACCCATTTATCAATGCGCCTATGGACTACCGGCTTTCGACCATAGCGGATACGAATGGTGTAAAAATTTGCTAGGAAGCTGCGCGATGACGTTAAGCGCGACCCGCTCGAGCAATTTCTATCAGAAGCCATGATAATCCTCGAACCACTACAGCGGAGAACAGCACAGAGCTGCTATGAGGAAGCACTTCGCCTTTCTCAGACAGAGGACGGTTCAGCAACGCCGACCCCGGCAGCCCCGGACGCTGTTGACACCGAGTATCCTACTGAGATCCGGAGATACATCAGGTCGAATGGGCCACCCCCGGAGACCGTACTTGGTGATGAAGGCTCCCTCGGCGATTCGCTTGTGGCAGCGCCGGACGCTGTTGGCATCGAGTATCAGACTGAGATCGAGAGATGCTTCAGGTCTAATATGGCACTCCCAGACATCCTACCCGTAAATTCAGCAACGAGAGCTAGAGCGAGCCAGAATGCTATTAGTGATAAACACTCCCTATCCCAAGGAAAGGCGCCGATCCGAAAGAGGTTTAACGCCCGGCAGCAGAACTGTAAAACGGCGAGCGTTGCAAAATATTGAGCAGGAGCTAGCTGAGGTACTCCTGTTGGAACTTCGTCACAACGACTCAGCAACGGTCGATGGCCATTAACGGATATCTGTGAGATAAGGATGAATGGGGGCTAAGGAATGTATGTTGTGACTACCCACCTAGCCTTTCTGAGATGGGTTCGGCGGTTCAAGGCTTAATGATCTGACGGGAGTTCTCACATATTTCCGAGCACTGTGGTCACCCGTTGTTTGCGCAACTTTTTGTATAGCTGATTGAGGAGTTATTAGTTACGCTTCTTAGTATAGGCGCGTGCTTAGCCTGGTCAACTATCAAGATCCAGCTAGCTAAGTTGCATTGCAGCGCGTCTATTATGAGAAATCCAAACTACAGTATACCAATCAAGGACCTTCCTCACCTAGATTCTGGTGAATGAAAAGCACCCTAATACGCCAGATCCTCTGCGCTGATCACTATACTTCCCGATAACACTAGCCCAATCTTCTAGGGGATAGAATTGATGGTGGCGGTTGAGGACAATCGACCCATAACCATCCAGATGCCACTGGACAGGTGTTCCAAGTTCTCATCATGTTCAATGCTGCAAAGATGCAAAGAAAATTGGCCGCCGGGCTTAAATGCTGGATCAGATATGCGTGCTATGGTTGCCGAAATCGAAGAGTCAAGGTATGGTATACATGCCTCCGTATCCCTTGGATGTTCTCTGACCATGTTACAAGTGTGGTAAAATCCGTCCCATTTGCGAAAGTTGTGCAGTGGCGTATTGCAGTGGTATAATTTAACCTTTCTTTATTAACATTTTACCTATACTATTAATGATGTTATACCTCTCTCATATAAGAAGCGTTTTAAGTTCACAATTATATTGTTATCTTAACCTACAATTCACTTACTATAATGTATTTATTTTAGGGTTCAAAAGCTTAAGCTTTAACTTCTTAGACCATAGGTAAGCATTAACAAGGCCTATATTCTGTGCCCCACATCTTACCTATCCTTATCTTATCTAAAAGTTACCTTGGGCACCAACGGGCATCTCGATTCCCTCCGGTACAAGAACGCTACCCGATTTTCTATCAACGAGCAATCCACGTGGCTAACATACTCCTCATGCATCAGTGCTTTTGCGGCAAGGTCTATGGGTCTCTTATTTCCCTTAGCAGGCATCGAGACAAATGCCCCGTGGTGAAATCCGATGATTGCAAGCTCTTGCTTGAACTACTCGCATGCTTCCGACCCGAGCCTGTTCCTCAGCGCGTCCTCCATCGAGCAGGTGATCCATATCGAACTTGGAGCGAAAATGGTAATCTGCTTGTACAAGAAGTCTTCAAGTTGCCATCAATGTTCAGGGATAAGATTCGTGTTGAGACGGCAATCAGGGTAGCAATCGATGGAGAAGCTCTACGAGTTAAAGAGACACACTTACAGCAGTGGGGATATATTCTCAATAAAGATTGCCGTACCTTTATTCAAAAGAACATACTCTCCCATTCCGAAACTGCTAGTGACAGGGTGCTGAATGCTGCCCGGTTGCTACTTCATATATTTCCAATCTTAGACTTGAAAGAGAGGTATAATGCCCGCTAATAATACCGTTTGTGGCTTGAACTAACTTTTTCGCAGCGCCGTCGATGAGGCAGAGGGTTTATCTCGACATTTATCACTGCTTTTTCAATTACCCGCATCAAGGTTCACTATTACTGAAATTCCTGGTATCATTGAGGTCTGCCTAGCTGCTACATCAATTGGTGATTACGATGATAAAATTGCTGCCATCGCTGCGGCTGAGCGATTTCTCCAGCGTATCGAGTCATCACAGCAGCTGGAGTTCAAGATCGCTATCGAGCTATCAAAGCAAAAGCTCTCCTTCTGGAAAGGTGACACTCTCAGTGTCAACAGCATCCTGGAAACTGAAGAGGCAAGGAAGCTAGCAGCCTCAAAACGGAAAGTCAATGCATATATTGGTCAATTCCGTCTCCTCCAAGCACAGCAGTTTGCCGAAAACGGTGAGCTCACTGACGCATGGAACATATTACACCAGTGGGCCCCTTCTCATGTAGCCCAGCCATCTGAGCTCGAGAGTATTATCACCACCCATGTTGACTTTCTAAAAGGAAAGCTTAGCAGGTATCGTGGCGACTTCGAGCAGGCACAGCAGTATCTCGAGCCACTAACCAGTCAATACCCATCATATAATATCAACTTTCCTTCTACTCTTGAGCTTGCTATTGTATACGGAGAGCTTGGGTTATGGGATAAAGCACAAGCCATCCTCAGACCCTACATAACAACTCATGCAAACCATGCCCTGCATCTTACAATGGCTGAGGTTTCTCTCAGCCATAGTCTGCAACATTTTAAAGAGGGGACAAACAATCATCTTGGTCACCTTGACTCAGCATACACCATTTTGCAAGGCCTTGTTCATGAACATACAAAGTTTACATCAGTTTGTCGGTCTAACCTTGACAGCTGGTTTCGTGTGTGGGGGGGACTTGCAATCATCTCGCATATTCGGCATGGATACGGGACGCAGTTTGGGAAGCTCTTTGCATTAGGCGATTGGTTCCGTGCATTGGATGCATGCAAGCGTTGCCACCTGGCTGGGGCTTTTCCTGAAATTGTTTGTTTGTTGTCGATTGCGGAACTCAAACTGTCTATTTCTGATCCTTCTTCGGAAACAGATATTTATCGTGCACAGGGGATCTGGGGCAATATTGTACGGAAAAAGTTAGACCAACGTTTTCTATTTCCATTCCTCAACCGCTGGACAGAAATAGTTTTGCAGAGCTTAGCAAAGTCGGGGAAAGTTGATGTGCTTGATGGCTGGGGCAGTTCTGGTTAATTTGGTAGCTCTTGGAAAGGCAATGTGTTCGATAAAATTGACGCTTGAATATCTTCATGCAAAACGCTGGGGTTTGCACAAGGGCAGAATACACATGGTCGTTGTGTGCGTGCGTTTGACTGAACACCGGGGATATATCTAGTAAGTTTCCACTTTCAATTTAGCGGCCCACAGTGCTGTGATATTGCAAACAGTAACTCTTCGGGGCCACCGTAGTTGACCCACAGCTCTCAGCTCGGCATTTACGTACCGGTCTGATCTACTCTGACCCTTCTGAGCGCGTAAAGCTCAACTCCATTGGCTTCTCATCCTGGTCAACACCCTTGCTGTGGCTTGCAGCAAGTATCACGCCAACAAAGTTGCAACCTAAGTTGAACGCCAGGGGTATAACCTCTGACTTTGGTTTGAAGGCCCACAGTGCTGTGATATTGCAAACAGTAACTCTTCGGGGCCACCGTAGTTGACCCACAGCTCTCAGCTCGGCATTTACGTACCGGTCCAATCCACTCTGACTCTTCTGAGCGCGTAAAGCTCAACTCCATTGGTTTCGTATCCCGGTTAATATCCTTGCTGTGGCTTGAATCAAGTATTAAGGAGACAGGAGGAAGCGTTGGCTGCGCAATGACCAGTTGATCACGACTCAACCTCTGATTCTCTGCCGCCGCACGCACTTGAAGTTCAAGGTACTTCAGCCACATGGTTCGCGCACTGAATAGTGGATGCCCTAGTTCATGTTGTAGTCCTTTTCTCTCTAAACTAGCTACTATTCTTGTAGGAGAGAAACCCAGGTGATAAACTAAGAGATGATGCGTCAAACCTAAGGACATATATACCGAGAGAAGTGTCCATAAAGCAACTAAACTTAAGCTGAGAAGCTTCAAATTTTCCTGTCCGGCTTCTCTTTACAACTTCTATCAAAATCTATTCTCTCATACTATAAAGATGTTACTTGTTGCACCCGTTCGGCTGTTAAGACTCAATCTTCCAACGTTATAACCAGCCCAGCCAGGCGTACGAAATGCTCTGTTTTCGCTACCAGCACCACTAAAGGTCCTGCACCTGGCCGCGAGAGCTCTAGGTGCTTCTTTCGTGTATCCGCATAGTTGTCGAACGGGGTCGTTGCTGCGAGCACTTTAGTAGGTGACCTGCTTGTTGGGGCGGATGAGTTCCTCCCAAGCCGGATAGTTCTTCGACTTGCAATCACCTGATCAAGATGTCAACACTCCTGAACGCGTCGGTAGCAGGCTTAAGGAGCAGATATACCACAAATATCGTCCTTCCGGTACTCAAAGTGGGTAACATTGGGCTGGCATCTCTTGTGGGTGACGGTGTATTCCCGGCACCACTTGGAGGCAATCCAGCGGAGGTGGCCACAGGAGTATTCGCGCTGAGTGTAGTCACACATCTTGAAGGTGACAAGATGTATGTGTTCTTCGAAAAGTAGTAGCTTGATTAACAGGATTTTAGGAAGCTGTGATAATAAGAGCGACGTTGAGAAATAGGGGAAGGATAACTTGGTGTATTTTAGTCCAACAAAGGGTTTGAGGTAGCTGCAGAGATTCTGGACCCTGGGCACCAGGGGAAAACAACCAAAACTTATAGTCGCACATTTCTCAGTAGGATTCAGTCGTGGTTGAAGAAGAGGGAGGAAAATTATCAGAGGAGAAGCGATAGAGATGCAAGAAGGGCTGTCCGAGCAAGTCTTACGAAAGGGGAATGATGTGATACTTGGACCCTGCAAGTTTTGTTCTGCACGAGCGACGGTGGCATACATGCAGTCTTGAGGAAATGATCTATTGGTCGATATCATACAACTCCGGAACAGACGGAAGCTTCCCTGAGGTATCTCCCTGTTCAAGTACTTCCTTTAAAAGATTGCAGTTTCTCCGCTTAGCCCAAGAGAAATCGATATCCGCCACAGCTATTCTCAGTGCGCCTTTGGGACGTTAAGCGAAGGCGATTCAATAAGATGAGATACATTCATTCTGGACTATCTAGGTGGTTACTTACCTGCTGTGCTGCTTACTTGACCCTGCTGAGATGCGCATATGCATTTTCCACGATGATTGACTTTGGTTGAGGACAAGCCACTCTCGGGATATCAAGTAGCCAGATCAAAAAAGAAACGGGAATCGGCTCGTATCCCGGCGGGAGGGGCAAGCTGCAGTGTACCCATGGTGGAAGCGGCGGACAAGCGGGCAGGCAAGCGAAGTGTCTACGCAAGAAAGCAGCCCAAGCACCCTTGATAGCAGTTGGAATTGTTGGGTAATAAAAGGCGGTCAGAAAGAACAGGCATGGGGTTTTACAAAAATTTACAGATACACGGCAGCTGAAGCTTCTCCTGGCTTGCGCTGCAATCTCGTGCTCTCTACCATCACAAAGCGGGCTCGTTCCTCGAGCCGGTGTTTGGGGTAAGGGCTTTTTTATGAGTGCCTCATTCCTCAAACCTCAGATGTTTGCACAAAACCATTAAATGGTAGCTCGGAATCTCGAACTCTAGTCTCATCGCTTTTATAAATGGTTTTATCGCCCACAGCCTTCCTACAACGAGTTTGAGCGTAATTTTCAACCGCTTCTCCAAATACCGTATCTGCTCACTGTTTACCGAAGTAGGACTTGAGCTAGGTGTTCCGAGGATGAGCACCTGGGATATACAGTGCAAATGCCATTACTATAACAACGCGCATGCAACACATGCACACCACCGAAGTCAGAAAAGTGAAAGTCTTCCATGGAGCACCGTAACTTCCTGGCCAAGGGGGTATCAACTCCGATGCGCTGCCATTCGTCGATCACTGCATACTCCAATCTTAACGGTCCTGTCCATTTTCCAGGTCTTCCTCTGACAAGCCACGATTCGTAACCGCACACGCGGTAACGCATAAACGAGCAAAACGACGCTCCCTACTCCAGCATCATGCAACGGCGTGCCAGAGCCTAGGCCCTGCGGCATTTCTTCGTCAAGATAGAATGCTGACTGTTGCCCTGCAGCCCAGGACTTTGCCATTCACTGTTAGCCTTAGCAATTGGCGACGGCGTTGGGCCATGAAAGATTCGGGTTTGACTTAGTCAACGGTGAGTCGGCTCGGGGCTAACCTCAGCATTGCCAGGTCCGTGACCGAGATCCATTAGTTTCTGAATTTACCGTTATTAGGCTTGCGCCGTTTCAATTTGGCTTCATGTAAACGAATGCAAAAGTTTTACACTTTCTCTTGTGCGATGCCACCACAGAGCCACAGCGACTGGCCGATCAGCATGCCGCACGGCACCTGTCTTGGCTCGCTTGCTCTACTTTTGACCTGCCGAACAGCAACTCAATTCCAATCCCGTGGTGTCTGCCCCAGAGTTACCAGCTCTGTGGAGCATGGCACCCGGACAGGGCAAAATCCTAGCTGTACTTGTTCGCTGCTAGCTGATATTTTTATCTGGAGACAAGCTAATAGCTATTCAGGAAGCTAGCTAGCTGCCCCTCCACACATTGGATGTGTCTGAAGTGGCTCTTCGCTTGTCTCAGTTGTTGAGTCCAATGTGCTCTGCAGGATCAAAGCCCAGCCAGACATAGACTCACGTTGCTTCGACTTTTGGAAGCCTTTGAGGTGGTCCGTACTGCGTACGGCCCTTACGCATCACTTGACGTATCTTGACGCGGTGACTAATGATGTTCCTACCAAGTGCTGTCACTTATGTTTGCTCTGGCCACCAAAGGTGGTGAGGACAGTACAACGGCACAACGGCACAACGGCACAGCGGCAGAGTGACATCGACAATGAGGCTGCGCCCGCCCTATCGGCTGCAGCTGCAGTCACTCCAACCCTCCTTGAATATCTACGTGCATATCCATGTACACACATAGCATTTGCCTTACACATGCCAGTGCATGCTAATCCGGGAACATCTGCAAGCCCACTGGCGGCTCTATGGACGGGTCACACGCCCCGAAGGCATCTTGGGTAGCAAAATGTGGAGTAGACATGCTCTTTTTGTTGGCATACGGTTTAGCACGGAATTGTGGGCAGCCCAATGAAATTCTGGTCGATGGAGAGCACCGTCACGACCACGCACAGCAGCAGCCCATATTGCGTCTGTCATGAGCTCCCAGGCGGGCGTACTGCAAAGGCTCCCCCACTCCTCAGCCCTGTCCTTACCAGCCCTACCCCCTGGGAGTGTTGCTACCCATGGACGGACGCCATGCTGGCGTGACTGTGATGTGTACCTTCACTAAACATGG